TCGTCATGGTTCTTTTCCTCTTTCCCACAGGGGGGTGGAATGGTCTCGGCAAGCCCTCAGAATCCCCCGAGACTTGCTGTCCCCAACCCGTCGGTTGTTGCAACCAAGGCGGCTTTGAGGGATCGTAGACCCTTGCGGCTGCGGCAGCCGAGGTGCAACAGTTCACGTTCCTACACTCGCTTTGGCACAAGGTGCTGGTTCCCAACAGCTTGTTCGCTATCGTCGAGAGGAAAGCTCCCTCACGACTCGCTTCGTTTGCTTCAGATGGCGGAGCGCCGACCTGGAAGCGCCTTTCAAAGCGGATGTGGAACATTTCGTCTCGGGGGTTCAGCAGGTAGATGTACAGAAAGCTGTAGGGCTCACGAACGGCCTCTTCGTACATCGCGTGGAGCTCTTGCTTCGGGACGAGGGCTGTGAGCTCTTCCAGGAGACTGTCTTTTTCGAGTTGGTTTCGTAGCCGCCACACCATGAAGAACTGGGCGTTGACCCTGACGGCGTTGCTGATCAACCGAAGCTTCTGGGTGCTCACCCAGGTAGATATTTGAAAGTGGCGTCCTCTGATAAACAGCGTGTCCAGGGCGGCGTCGCCGCTCTTCTTGTGCAGGTGGGGGCTGTCCGCGAAGTCGTCTATCAGGATCAAGATCTGGTAGAGCCGCTTCATCTTGAGCTGCTTGCTGGTCTCGGTGATCTTGCGCTGCTTGTGGATGATTTGACGCAGGGCCGTCTCGTCCCAATCCTCAAAGTAGACCTGCTCCCTGGTCGTGTCAATTTTCATGGTTTATTCGATGTACTTCTTGACCGGTCGCCAGCCATCATCGACATTAATCGAGGGGCTGAACACGTAGATCCTCTCGAAGCAGCCTCTGTATTGATCCAGAATCATTGAAATCAAGGCAACGGTCTTGCCAGACTTGGAGGGACCGACAAGGATCCCAGTACAGGGTAGCTTCGGGACCACTGGGTCGCGGGGTTGCTTGGTGTCGTAGGAGGGACCCGGAAAGACCTTGATTTTGGTCATGCTTTACTTTATCGCGAGGGAGCCGGGCCCTGAACGCTGGCCGCGATCTCGTCGCAAAGGGCCGGGGGTATGCTGTAGAGCTGCTCCCGTGACTGCGACCCGCCAGTGCTGCCTCTTTGCGCTGTTTGGGGGTGTCGGCCGTGTTCGTAGGCGGCGCAGCGGTCGCCCCGGCGGCAGAAGGTTCGGGTGGGGTTCCAGGGCAGGTTGTGCCAGATTCTGGTCGCTTTCTTGTACTTGAAGCCGTACTTGCAGTAGCAGACGTCTGAGTAGGGCAAATCGGCCATGAAGGGCCGCGTCTTCAGCAAGCCTGTCTGAGGGTTCTCGATGGCTCAGTACCGCGGCCGCAGGGCTGCGATGATTTGAAGGCTGCGCAGCACCAACCGCGGGGGTGGCGGCTCATAGCCCGAGAGTACTTGGTGCACACAGGGCTCGCCCAGACCATGTCGAAGCGCCCCAGGGCGGTCTCGTCGAGCTCCGTGACGTCGCAGCAGATCGTCGGCTCGAACTTGGGGTCCAGATCCACGGAAACCACCTCCCAGCCCCTAGCCTCGAAGACCCGTCCAATCGACTTGGTGCCGCTGAAGAGCTCGAGGAGCCTCATGGCTTTCTTCCAGAGACCGGCACGCCAGCCACAGGAACGCGGCCAGGCCGCCCATCAGGCAGGCGAGCTCCAGGTTGCACAACAGGCTCTCGCAGGAGGTCTACTTCCTGGACGGCTTGAGGGAGTGGACGCTGAGCTCGCAGACCATGCAGCACGTGGACAACCAGACCGTGGTCGAAACCAGCCTGCGGCAGCCCCTGGGCCCTGGGCGCTCTGCGGGAGGTCTCCTACCAGCTCTGGAAGGGCGACGAGATGCTGGAGTCCGCCTTCCAGCGGCGCAGCGACAGGCTGCATGTGCGTGCCCAGGCAGCTGGCGGAGCTGCTCCGGCTGGTTTTGGAGGAGGTCCTCTCGGATTTCGACACCATCTGCGAGCGGGGCTGGCAGGAGCGCGGCATCAGCCCCGAGGAGATCCGGGAATTTTGCGTCTGGAGACAGGCGCCCATGTTCTTCGTGAACTGCCGCGGGCAGCTGCTGGACAGCTACCAGCCGGCCGAAAAGGAGGCCCGGGCCGTGGCCTTCACCGCCTGGGAGGGCCACGCCTTCTTCTACAAGAATGCCAGGAGCGTATACCTCTGCGACGACGTGGAGCGGATCCAGCCGAGGTACCGCGGCGAATGCAAGGAGTCCACGCTGCCCGAATTCTCGGAGTGGCGCGAATGGGACGGCTGCGGCAGGCAAGGGCGCAGCTGATGGCGGAGGGGCACTGCCCCAGCATGGCCATGCGCAGCCTCTGCGAGTGGCGGTGCCGCCTCCGCTGCGGCGAGGCGGACTGCGTCATCTGCGAGCTCCCGGAAAAGGCGGAGGAGCTGCGGGCCTGGATGGAGCGCCTGGGCCTGAAGTACCGCGGGCAGCGGCTGGCCGGGGCCACGTCGGAGGTCTTCATGCAGCTGCTGCGGGCGCAGCGGGAGCTGCCGCACAACAAGGAGCAGATCCTGGCGGCGCAGGGCGGCATCTGCAAGCTCTGCGGGGCGCCCGTCGGCCTCGGCACCTGTGAGTTCGACCACGTCGTGCCGCTGCACCAAGCGTTCCGAGGCCAGATCCGGGACATGCAGGCGCTGTGCCTCGAGTGCCACCGCACCAAGACGGCCTTGGAGAACACCACGCTGGAGAGCCGCTTCAGTCGCAGAGCCTGCGAGGCCTACGTCTCCTCGTCCAGGCTGCCGCCGCTGGTCTGCAAGCTGCAGAAGTGGGACCCCGAGAAGCTGTGCCGGGGCATCGACGTGGTCCGGTGCCGCAAGAACGGGCTGGCCAATGCCCGCTTCCCGCTGCCGGTTTTCTGCCCTTTGGACAGCTTGCAGGAGGCACGGGAGGGACACCTGGCGGACCTGACCTACGTGAGGCTCCGCAAGGACAGCCGAGTGGCGCTCCTGAGCCGCCTGCCCTACGTGGGCCAGGGCTGGTATGCCAAGCCCGCCGTGGCCTGCATGCTGGACACCGGCATCGCCACCTGGCAGGATTTCCTTTCAAGCCTGGACGCCACGGCACACGTGCAGCCGAGCTGCCTGGCCTGGGCCCTGCGCAAGATGGAGGAGGCCTGGGGGGAGGAGCATCTGGCCAAACGGAGCGTCAACGCGCTCCAAGGGTTGTGGGCCCGCAACGCGGACCTGGTGTACCTGATGCGCACCTCGAACAACCAGCTGGACGGGCACGGCTGCCAGTACCGGCAGACCTTCGCCACGCCGCCGGCGGCTTGCACTGGGACCACATCTACGTGACGCAGCTCTTCAGCAACGCCTCCCACAGGCCGGCCTGGGACTTCGTGATGGCCGCGGAGTACTGCGCCGTGGCGGAGATCCGCCGGCAGCTGGCCGAGGTGCCGATGCGCTATACTTCAAGTTCATCAAGACGGACTGCGTGGGCTTTCAAGGATTGCCGCGGAAGCACCAACCCCTCGTGGAGCGGCTGCTGCGCAAGAGGCACCCCGACGGGACGCTTGTGTACCGCGGCGATGCCGTGGACCCGCTGCTGGGGGAGCACCGCGAGCCCGAGATCGACGGAAGGCCCCCTGCGCCTGTCGGCTGGGAGGCCGTCGAGGATCCCGTGGAGCACTGCCTCAAGGGCTGCAGCCTGCTGCTGACGGGCTTGCCCGGCACCGGTAAGACGCACTTGGCGAGGCGGATCGTGGCGCAGCTGCGGGAGGCAGGGGATCTGGTGCAGCTGGTTTCCAAGACCCACAGCGCCGCCCAGAACCTGGATCTGGGAGCGCAAACGGCGGACCATTGGGTGCGGCGAACGGTCCGCAACGGCAGGTGCCGGCTGGACTGGCTGGTGGTCGAAGAGGTGACGCAGCTGGACGCCGGCCTCTGGGCCGACATAGCCTGCGTCTCCATGGACCGCTCCGTGCGGTTTCTGCTCATGGGCGATTTTCGACAGCTTCCCGCCGTGCTGGACAGCTTCGCGGGCTCGCGAGTGGAGCGGCCCTTGAAGGACAGCGACCTGCTGCGTGATCTGGCCTCCGGCTACTGCCATGAGCTGACGGAGAACCGCCGGAGCGACGAGCGCATCTTCCGCTTCATCGGGTGGCTGCGGGTCGGCGACGCCGAGGAGGTGCCCTTGGCCGAGGCGGTCAGAGTCGCGCGGGAGTTCCCCAGGGTGCCGGGGACCCATCCCGACGTCTGCCTGGTGATCTCCCACGCCCACAGGGGCGGGAGAACAGGCGCCTGGCGCCCGAAGGCGCGGTTCTGATCGAGCACAGGGACTCTGGCGCGCCCACCACGAATTCGCCGCAGACCATGAGGGTCTGGGCAGGCTTGAAGCTGGTGGGGGCCGGCGGCAAGGTGCCCCGCGGCGTCTTCGTGACCGTCGCGGAGGCGGGCCTGGAGAAGGTCACTTTGGACGGAGGCCAGCAGTTCTCGCACTCGGAGCTGCTGCGGCACACGCGGCTGTGCCACGCGATCACCTATGCCAGCTGCCAGGGCCTGACCCTGCGCGGCCGGGTGTGGCTCCTGGACTGGGGCACGCAGCACTTCAACCTGCGGCACCTCTACGCGGGGGCGAGTAGGGCCACCAGCACAGCGAGCTGCTGAGCGTGCTTTAGCAACCTGGGGGCAACCTGGGGCCAGCCCCCTAGATGACTTGGGGGCAACCTGGGAACTGGCTTCAGTATGATGACGATCTACATAGATGAGTAATCATGGGGCCGCCGCCAGCTGCGCCGCCGTCCCGCCAGCAGCCATTTGACAGCTGTCAAATCTGCGGGGGCCCGATGCTGGCGAAAAAAGGGCATCATTCCGTTCCCGGCGCCCCCTTGACGGGGTCCGTGGGGGTTGAGGTTTCAGAGCCGCCCCATTTCCTGGACGGCTCCCAGGGCCTTGCCCTGCGCGAAGCGTCACCGGCGTCAAAAGCGTCAAAAGCGTCAAAAGCGTCAAGTCTAGCGTTTTAGAAGAGCCCCGAAAGCTCGTTTTGCGAAGTTGAGTCTCAGGGGGGCGGGCCACGGCGTCAAAAGCGTCAAAAGCGTCAAAAGCGTCAAGTCTAGCGTTTTATAAGAGCCCCGAGGGCTAGTTTTGGGAAATTTGGCCTTTGACACTTTTGACGATTCTCGTTAAACGCGTCGAGTGCTAAAATGCGTTTCCTAGGGTTGTAGGCCTTTTAAAATGCAGTTTTGACGTTTTTGACGTTTTTGACGCATCATATCTGGGCGGCGGGAGTCGCTGCGTCGGTTCTGTCTTACACATCCCTTGTAAGTTTGCTTTTTTGCTTGATTTTGTCATTGCATGGCATGTTTTTGCTTGATTTCTGGGATACCAGTTTTGACATTGTTTTGCACAGTTTTGACAATTTTAAGGTTTTGACGTTTTTGACGCGTCAAATCTGGTGATTTTGCTTATTTTCCTAGACTTTTTTCACGGCATGGCATGGTTTTTGCTTGATTTCTGGGATGCCGCTGCAGCCACAGGGTTGCATTCAGGTAGCCGGGGTGGGGGGTGGGAGGTCACGGTGTCAAAATTGCATTTTAGAAGGCCTACAGCCCTCAGAGGCGCATTTCAGGACTTGACGCTTTTCCCTACAGTTTTGAAGACGATTCCCTTGCCGCCCAGGCGCTCTTCGCCATGCGCTGTTCGCCATCGGCAGCCGCAGCCTTTGAGTGATTGCTGTAGAGGGCCTTCCTGCAGAGGTGCCTTGCGCTTGTTTTGACTGGTTTTGTTGTTTTTGAGGGCTCTTTCTTGGTTTAGGACCTCCTGTCCAAAACTTGTAAACTCAATGGCAGAGCCACAGTTTAGGTTTTAGGGTGTAGGGTTTGAGGGTTCTAGGGTTTCTTTCTTTCTTGTGTGTGACAGTTTTCCACTAGATAACTGTTGCGCTGAGGGCGGCTGGGGCTGTTCCCGAAAACCCGTCGAGCTTGTCACCCCTGAAACTGCCGGTGGGCTGGGGATTGGGGGGGGGGCTGTCCCGAAAACCCGTCAACCTTGTCTCCCCTGGGGTGCCTACAAGGGGATAAACCCGTCAACCTCGCCAACCTTGAGGCAGCGTGTGTGCACCACAGAGGGGGTGACAGGGTTGACATTTTGTTTTGGAACAAGCTGTTCCGGGAGAGGCTGTGTGTATGCACCACAAGAGGGGGTGACAGGGTTGACAACTTTAAACGGGTGTTGCCAGTGGCGCCTGGGAGCTCGGAGTTTCGAGACTCAGGTCACCCATTTCCTTGCGTGCAGAGACCGCGTGCAGGCGCAACAGAGGGGTGACAAGGTTGACAGCTTTTTTCAAGCGGGGCTGTTGCCAGCGAGCGCGAAGCCACAAGACTGGAGTTGGGGGAGCTGTTTTCCAAAATCCATCAACCTTGTCACTGCTGGGCTGGGGAGTTGGGGGGAGCGGAAAAACAAGAGTGCTCTTTCGTCGACTCAGCACGGGTTGCAGTGGCAGGCTCGGATCGCGCTGAATTGCCGCGGTCTCGGATCTTTGCGAATGTCAGCCAGCTGCCGCAGTGACGGCGCCGGCGGGTGAGATGCTGCTCCCTCTGGTCGAGCTCAAGGCAAACGTAGACATGTGTTGTCCTACAAAAGGCCCTGCAATTCAGAATTCCTCGTTGACTTTCTTATGGCAGGATTTTTCAAGCTAGGGTCCGAGTTGCCCCTTCCCGCAATGGCTTCGTTTTTGTTCGCATCTTTGCTGATCGCAGCGTGCCTGCCAACGGCTCTTGGCAGGTGCCAGCTCAGCCAGTGCCGTGACCTCGAACCATTTAGGAACTGTACCATCGAGAAAGTTGCCACGGGCGTGTCGAAGACCGTGCTTCTAGGCCACTGCTCGGATTTTTTTGCTTTGAAATTCTCAGTGATGAGCCTGAAGCCCGAGCAGGGGTTCCAAGCACCGCGGCGGTACGTCTTCAACGACTTGGTTGCTGCCGTAAGGTTGCCGTCTCCGCAAGACAGACAGTCGCAATGGGCACTGGACCAGCTAAAACGAGTGCACTCACAGGACCGTGCGATTCTGCAGCCTCCAAACGCACGAGAGATTGAGCGACATTTGGCCGCAACGGCTGCCAGGGCACCTCTGGCTTTTGGAATCCAAATGCCACGCTTAGACTGCAGCGTCTGTGCGAATTTGGACGATCCTGTGCAGCATGCTCTTCCGGATGGGAGGCATGCTGGCAGCTTGCGCCGGGCACTACTGAACATCCAGGTGGATAACAGAGCGACGGGCGTTGTTGCAGGGCTTTTCGCAAATCCCCGCGAACTCCGTTGCGAAGGGTGGCTTTTCTTCGTGTTGGGCTACCTGCACGACATCGCTGCAATGGCAGTCACGACTGGTCTCATCCACCCTGATGCTCACGGTGGCAATTTGTTATATTTCAAGGGCGTGGCCACAGATGATGTCATATTTAGCTGGTGCGATTTCGGCGCAAGCTCGTTGAACTACTACTACAACGCGACCGGCCCTCTTTCAAAAGGAAGGTGGTGGCATCAGATCCACACAACATTATCGTTGGCGGTCCGCGCCACGCACGAAGTGTGTGGGTAATTCGCTCCTGCAGACTGGCAAAGTTTGCCTGATGACATGATGGATGCAAACCACGAATCGACCGCGAGCATGTTGTCAGCACTGCTAACTGCGTTTGAGGCGAGCTTTCTTCGAGACTCGCCCACCAAGGCCTTCATTTTAGCACGCATTTCCCGCGTGTCTGGCCCTTTGCTGTCGGAGATCAGCGCGCTGCAGTCGAATGTC